GGTGCCTTCGTGGGCTGCTAAAAAGTAGGTACATTAAAGTATGAAGCACATAACTGTTTTTGTTCTGACCTGTACATCCATCACAAGACAATCTCAGCTGGGTCACATCTGTAAGGACATCTGATTACAGATAACTAAGAAGAGTAGAAGCTACTTCGGTTGAACCGCGCCCTGCTTGCTCTTCGGTCCAGATATAAAAGTACGGGGTGTAGTCATTTTTAATATCTGTTACACAAACATTGTAAAGACTTTATCGTTTGGCATAAAAAGCCTGTTGAATAGGCGTTCGAGGAAATGGTTGCACCTGCTGCATGTCAAAGCATAAAGTTTTTTCTTTTTCTTTGGTTTCTTTTATTAGGTCATAGAAACACTTTGCCCTTTACTTGTGTATTTTTTTCAGTAAAAAGTATCTGCTTTTGAGTTCCTGTAGCATTTTTAATTTTATAGTCCATCATGGCACAGTACCCACAGACGTCAGATGCCGGGGATTTGAAACCAACATTGAACTCTCCGCAGCATATTTTACGAAACATTGATAACTTTACTTGGAGTTGGGGATTTTCTGCACTAGCATTATAAATCATGTGAAGTTTTTGTATTGAAAGATCACTACTTAAATATACTCTTTTTGATTTGTTGCGGTTATAGTGACTTTCAGTACCTTTTAAATTTCCAATAAACTGGCGAATCGCCTCCTTCTCAATCGGTGATCGTTGGCTTATTCTATCACCTCCTCTGTTGTTGTCTTCTAGTCTTCTAGTTAGTTTTTAGTTTTGATAAAAGTCGTCGAACTCTTCCGATGTAAACTGAGTAAGGTGCGAAAAGAAAGATTTACAAACAGTTACGCTACCCCCAGAAATTAGAGGAAATCGGTAGGTAACGGAAGTCGATTTTGGTTTGGATTTTGCTTGTTCTAAATTTAGGCCTAAGCAAGATTGTCGGGACCTCCGACGTTGAACGTTTTTTGTTATGAACCTCCCAACTAATTGGTCCTGAAAAAGTTTTTCGGGTTTCGAATAAAAAGTCTTCAGAAATGCATCGGCATTTACAACATTTAAAAGCTTTACCTTTATGTAAGCAACCTATGAACATACAACCACCAGCAGGAGCAGCGTATCTCTTTTCTTTAAGAAGTTGACACTTTGTAACTGTCTTTTATCTTTTTCATGATCCAGAACTTATTCTTCTAACTAATACTAATTCACTATCTAAATTACCTTCATTTAAACTCATAATTTCACTCAATTAAGCAGAAACCAACATTAAATTATAATTTTCCTCTGAAACTAACCTGTTAAGATTGTGTACTGTCAACAATAACAATCAAATCAAAACCATGTATTTAAGTGACGTGATTGAAATACTTGTCTAGGGCTGAATAGAAAATGTGGGGTTTTGCTATAACCGTCACATATCAGATGTGGGGTTTTGCTTTAAACACCTACTTTTAAATTAATAATATAACTGGAAAAGTGGGTTTTTGATTGGCAATAAACATGACAGCCAATGCATTTTAAAATGACGAATTAAAAACATCACCTACCTATTTAAAAAATATATTTTTGGACATGTGGTGTTATGAAACTTACCTCCTCAAATAGCTTTATCCTACCTAAATAAACAAGAAATTAAAAAAAATTTGATTTACATTTTTCTACTGGCCTATTGCGCCATGGCTTTTTTCATCTATTTGTCTTTAACTAATAACCTTTTGTTTGCATATAGACGGTAGTTTCATTGAATTAAAAGGTAATCATCACAATAATACAAACACTTCACGACGCAACGCTCGGCGTCTACAAAAGTAATTCATATTATACGAATAAACGCACATATTAGTCCAGTCGTCAGAGATTTGACCTCTCAAAACTATACCAACAAGCTGAATTTTGCTGAGAATGTCAATTTTGGGACCCCAAAAAAGTTGTAAAAAGTAAAAAAAGTTTATCACTTTTACTCCGGCTTCTCCCTAAAATGCCCCCTCATTTGTGGGAAAACGGAAAAAATCGATTTAAGGTGAACCGACCTAATAACGGCCCAGTTAAAGGAATATTTGACTTTAGACGTAAATATTAAGGAAACGAAATAATAGAGAAAATAGATTTAAAGTATATTTGATAGCTTAAGGTTTTCTTTATTAAAATAATTAATAAAAACTAAAAAATGTGTTTTTTGTTCGTCAAAAAAAAATCGAAGTTTTCACCAAAATGCAAAAAACTTCCGATCTTCTTCTTCTTCATGTGCCCTGTCCGTTGCGAACGTTGGCTATTAACATGGCAATTTTTATCTTGTTTGCGGCGCTTCTGAATAGTTCGACCGAAGTGAGCCCGAACCACTTCCGCAGATTTTGGAACCACGAGTGTCTTTTCCTGCCGGGCCCTCGCTTACTGTCTATTTTTCCCTGGACAATTAATTGCAGCAAACGGTACTTATCGTGTCTCAATATGTGGCCTAAATATTCAAGCTTTCTTTGTTTAATTCTATTCATGATTTCGTTCTCCTTTCCGATTCTTTGGAGTACCTCTATGTTGGTGACATGTTCGGTCCAGGATATACGAAGAATGCGTCGGTACACCCACATTTCGAATGCTTCTAGTTTTCTCGTGAGCGTCTCCGTCAGCGTCCTGGCCTCCACATCTATGTTGAAAAATTAGTGGTAAAATCGGGTCCATCGATATTTTGTCCGTCGGCAAATTCCAACAGAGAATATTTGTTGTATGTTATGAAATTCGAGTAACCGATGTCCAGGGATGTATCGCGATATTGGTTGTTTCACCAACAAAATTTTTTTGATAAAGTATTAAATCATACAATAACAATGTGTAATGTGTATATTATAGTCAAAAGGTAGAAAATCTTTATGTATAAAAATGTAAAAAAAATTATTACTCCACCACCCTATCGGAAAAAATACTAGGTGATACAACGGCATCTTCTATAGAGCTTTTTAACGCTTCTCATTTGTTTCAGGTACTTGTTATATGTAATACAATTTTAATATATCTACGTCATACATCTTTGGTATGTACCTATAGTTGTTGGTATATACCATATACCAATGATGTAGATATATTAAAATTATACGACATATAACAAGTGCCTGAAACATATGAGAAGCGTTGAAAAGCCCTATTATCGTTTAATGATGACGTACATAGACGAAACTGTGGAAAAGTATTTTACATTTAAGAAAATATTGTTAAAAACAAAGTTAACAATTTATAATGAAAAACTAAGTTGTTTTAACTGAAATAATCATCATATTAGTGTACCTTCTCTAAAATATTTCTCCTATAGACGAGCTCTCATCATCGTCACTATCCACCAGATTAATAATAAGTTGTCCACTGTTTTATAATAATTGTCCTAGTCTTCGGTACTCAGTTTCTACTTTAACTGCATGGTTTACATCTTTTTTCCAGTCGGCACTTGTAATCTCTGACAGTTCATATCGAATTAAATCGACCACTTTCGCGTCAAATTTTGGAAAACTATTTTTCCTGCGAATCCGTTTTTTTTACTTGTCCCCAAATAAGTTCGATAGGATTGAATATGCAAAAATAAGGTGGTATGGCCATGTTATATTGCAAAAGTGTCGAGTATATATTGCTTCTTATAAGTTTTAGTACGAAACACTTCAAGTAACTGTTTCTTATTATAGTTGTCTTCAAAATACAAAACATTATCTGACAGGAAATCTTTTAGTTCCTGTTTTGAAGACTAACTGTTAGAAATTTTTTTGAGAAGACTTAAGAGGTAGCCCATAACTATCGCACTGCCCGGTGTTATATTGGGAAGTAGTATATTTTTAAATCATTCTTCAAATATAGTAGAATTCATATTCTGGTGATAATCTACACTATATTTTTCTATTTTTTTTTACAAAGCATTAACTCATTTGGGACCCAACCATTTGCAGATCCATAATACACAATAGTCTTCCAAAAACCTTTATTCGGAGGTACGCCTTTCAACTGGCACCTAAGTGAACCATCAGTCTAACCTTTGCTAGCGGTATCATGCGTATCATACCATGTCTTGTCTAAATAATATGTAGTCTGCTGTTGGTCTCGATATTTTTGAATTTTTTTTAAATAATCTAAACGCCAGTGTCTATCCTCTTAATTCCCATAATAGCCACCCTTTTATCAACGATTTTGTATTTGAACCCAAGTTTTTTCAGCCGTCCGCGTGAAGTGGTTTTAGGGCAGCGTCTTTCCATCGCAACAAGCTTGGTGTGTATATACTATCAATTGTTGGTATTACATTTTTTTTTTATTTCTCGTAAACTAAACTCCTTAAATATTTAGCAGTCATGATATTAATTTGTTTAGGTTTTCCAGCATCCGATCTTGTTTTTCTCTTTTTAACACCACTTTTCACAATGTTGCGCATGGTAGAATACGGAATTCCTGTTAGAAAAGCCACTTTTCTTATAATACTGCCTTTACAACTATTTTAAGGATCATTTTGAAGATTTTTGTAAACGTTCATACAAATTCTCTTAGAAACCAGTGCTACCAACCAAAACAATTTCATTTTCACAACAAAACTCGCTCAATGCCAGAGATATTATGGCTAATATTCATTCAAAAATAACACGACATGTCTCTTAATGTTTTTTTTTGTCGTTCAACAATTTATTAAATTATTTTGCGCCATACTCAGAAAACGTTTCTGTATTAATCCATCCACTTTCATTGTATCTGATATTCTCATGTGATTAATAAAATTTAAAATGTATCACTTCATTGGCAGGTCGTAATGGAATTTAAATTGGTAGAGCCTAATCTTCTAAATTTATAAAATGAAATTTTGATTTTGAGTTTTGGAAAAAAAATATGAGGCATTTGAAATATTGAGCAAAATTCACTTTGTTCCTATGATTTTTAGATGTACAGGGATATTTTCGTCCCTGACGACTGGAGTATATTATGTGGTGCGCGTTGCTAAAATGCTATAACAAAAATATAGTCGCCAGACAGTTCGGCAATACACATTACAAACCCTCAAAAACAATTTAATATGTAAACTTTAACCCTAACCTTACTTTTAATAAAGTTTAATGTGGGAAAAAAATTAAAATACAGTTATATTTCAATGAAAGAATAATTTAAACATGTAATTTTACAGTAAGTAATGATTCTATATTAATTGAGATTAATACTAAGGGTAATAGGGGACGGTAAATACAGGTTAAAATTTGAAATATTTGAATTAAACCTCTGTTTATTAAATTTGTTTTAGGTTCCAATTTGAACCAAGATGAATAAAGAAACTTTTAAGGATGCAAAAATCCTTTTTAGTATAATCAAGGCTAAATATCCAAAATACCATCCTTTTTGGTTTATACTTTATATGTATATTTTGTACACAAGAACTTTAAAAAGGCAGTATTTATACAATTTGAGACCCGTCCCTACAGATTTCATAATTAAATATGTAAAAAACAAGAGTGACTTCAAAGATATACACAGTACAGTTATTGTTAATATCCATAACATATACACCAGTGACAAAGTGTTAAAACTATATTGTGATAAAACCAAACATACTAGAATAGTTTATACTGTACCTTTAACTGGTTGTGAAAAACATGAACTTTTAGTATCTAATACATTTTTCGAAAATTTATCAAACATAAATTTAATAAATTCTTTGAGACTACTTTGTTGTTCCCTGGACCAAAATATAATAGCACAAGAGATCAACCTATCTTTAATAAGTTGTCCCTTTGATATAAACAATTCTCTATCAGATGCACTGTTGGAGAGATATTTTAAAAAGCCAAAGTTACTGAGAAAGGGAGACTTAATAGAAATCAATATTAAATATGTAGCAGAAGACATATTTTTTCTAAACAGTAAGGTGAACAATGTTCATAGTGTATTTTATAAATGTAATAAAGTTATTTATCAAGAGAAGGAAGTGACTGAGAGTCTTTATTGTGTTCTGGGTGAGACTGCTATCAAACAGAGTGTTAATGTACAAAGTTTTATACCTAAAAGAACTTCGAAGGTGGTACCTGATAGTAAAGAGGAATTTAAAGAGTTGTGCCTTTGTCCTTATGGACTACAGAATTACTTTCAAGAAATGAAGCTGGCTGTGAAACCTTTTCTCAGGAAATGTAAGTATCTTAGCTTAACCAAATAAATAAACTATAGTCAAAGTATAAAATAGTTGTCAGTGATATCATCCCCAATTTGAAGTGAGTTATCTTGTTAATCTACTAGTTAAGAGAGGGTAGCTTGCAATGCCATCTAAAATTATTTTAACAGAGTATATATTTTATGACAGAATTCAAATAAAAGTTTTAAAATAAAGGTTTGTTAGAGACTGCGAGTAAATAGTATTATGAACAACTTTTTTATTTATATTATTGCAGCTGAAAACTATTACCAGTAAACAATAGATTATTAAATATTTGACATGGCATACGAATTGACATTTATATTCACTACAAAAAGTTATAGATTACTAAAAATATTTGAATGTTGACTTGGAAGATTAGAACCAGTTCTAAAATAATTGGAAGTAATTTACTATCAATTGAACATATTACATGGCCATGTTTTACAAAATTCATGCAATGCATGGTCAAGTTTTACAAATTTGTCAATAAAGCTCATACCCAATCTAGAATAATAAGTACTAATATTTTTAAATGTTGTAATCATATAAAAAATATTACCTAGATAACTGATTCAATTTGCTTCAGAAGTTGACAAAATGTCACTACCACTTATGTCCTCGCCAAGAATAATGAAGACACTTCAATGAAAATGTCTACTTTTATGTACATCCCATATTTTGTTTTCTTCCTGTATAACACATTGAATATATTTCTGTCCTGCAGTTACTGTTACACTCTTTATAGCATTTTATATTAAAAATTGCATATCATGCAATTTAAAAGTTAAGTATATTTTTGCTGGCAATTTATATTTTATTTAATATACCCATATGAGTTTTATCACATTTAATTCACACTGGTAAGGTCGCAGTTGTACCACAGTAGTATGATGTAATTAAGTAGCTTCATGTTTGTTGTATTTAATGTTCATTGGCGAACTTACGCATCTAAGGAAGATTGTCATTAGATTGAATGGATGGTCGACCGATACTTGGGCCGCTTGAGGAGATATATTTTGCTATATTTATCACTGGTCTATTTATCCTTTATTCTTTCTTTTCTGTAAGCTGTCTATTATAAACTATTCGTAGTGCAGAAACTCCTTAATCTTACGCATGTGATTGTTCTATTCTTTTTTCTGTGTAGTATCCACTTGTTTATATCCTGTATGTTACATTGACTTCTGATATCTTCACTCCTCTTTGGTAGCTCAAAGTATTTCCTGTAATTCTACTTAATATTCTCATGTCTGTGGCATATGGTTGTAATCATATAAAAAATATTACCTAGATAACTGATTCAATTTGAATCAGAATGCTCTTCAGAAGTTGACAAAATGTCACTACCACTTATGTCCTTGCCACAAAGTGATAGTGAAGACACTTCAATTAAAATGTCTATTTGTGTGTACATCTAATATTTTGTTTTCTTTCTTTTTAACACATTGAATATCTTTGTGGATTGGACAGGATTAGACTTTAAAAGTTTAATAAGGAAAGCCCAAAATAGGGAAGACTTTGCAGAAGTCATCACCAACCTTTGCTAAGAAGACAGCACTCAAAGAAGAAGAAGAATATATTTCTGCCCTGCAGTTTCTGTTACACTCTTTATAGCATTTTATAGTAAAAATTGCATGTCATTCCATTTAAACATTACATATATTTTTGCAGGCCAATTTATATTTTATTTATACCCATATGAGTTTTACCACATTTCATTCACACTGGTAAGGTGGCAGTTGTAACACAGTAATATGATGTGATTAAGCAGCTTTACTTATGTGTGAAGTATTTAATGTCTTATGTGGATTAATATAATCTTACAATGTCCATTAATTGAACTCTAAGCCTTGACTCATCATATTCTATATTTTTAAATGTTCTTTTAGTTCCATGTATGGATATCATGTTGGCTACTATATGTTAGCCATAATGGTTTTATTAACAGCAACTATAATTAAATAGTCAGATTTTTATATCATTGTCCCAAGTTGTAAGTTTTTCCATTACATTCAGCTAGGATGATGTTTACCTTTGATCTTTCCCCACATTGATATCACCACCATGTATGTATATTCATACAATTGATGGATTTGACCGTTACTTGATGGAAATTCATTTTCAGTAATAATAAAACACTGAAAACTTTGTTTTCAAACTTCTACAAAATTTATTTTAACCTCTTTTGCCTTTCTCAACTTGAGAAAGGCAATTTGCCGAAACAGCTGTAGTGATAAGAGGTTAAAATAAATTTTGTGGAAGTTTGAAAACAAAGCTTTCAGTGTATATTCATATATTTTGACCTTTGTCATAAGGAGCTTCTAAGTCAGGCAACAATCCTTCCAAAAACCCTTATTTTGAAGTTTTAATATTTGTGTCCTTCCTGCCATAATTTCACTTACATGTGTTCTTCATTTACTACGTTTCATTGGTTTAATATATTTATCTTTCTGATCTGTGTTATGTATGACCCTAAAACTTTTGTTAATGTCCACATGTTTGTGTAATTTCCGTCTGATATATTCAGATTTCTCTGGAGTATTAAAGTTCTCAAGAAATTTATTATAAACTGTCCTCATTTAAAAAAATGAATATAAATAATGTTTTATTTATTGTAAAGATTACTCCTTTTGAAATGGCTCAGAATTGTATTACTGATATAAATGTATAGACGACCTGTTAGAATAAATGTCCAATACCACCAATTCACCAACTGCGCAAAATAATGTAAAGGAAATATTACTTATTATAAACATCTATTTATTATATAATCTGACCGTTTAAACTCCAGAAAATATGCAAAGTTGACTCTAAACTATATATTGTGTTTAAGCCTGTACACATGAATCTTTTAGACATAACAATAAATAAAATTAAAAAAAGTAGTAAGCAATTTCAAAAAAATTGATCTAAGTAAAAATATTTAGTATCTTGGGTTGAACTTATGTCCCTATTGGGTTAACTTCATACCCAAAGACAACATTTAATGTTACTTTTAAATATTTGCAGGTAACATGTTTTAGGCTGCTCTCAAAAAAAGTGTTCTTAATTTTTAAGTGACATCTTCAATGGATATTTCGTACTTTGATTATAAAATAGTATACCATTAGGTACAAATTTTATAATTGTACAAACTTATATAATTTTTTAGTAAGGCTCTCTTTGAAACCAACATTTCTTGTGACTGGAAATGCAGGAAGTGGTAAAGACATTATTGTGTCCTCTTTAGCAGCTGAATTGGGTATGCACTATTACAGAATAGATAATTACGAATTAATGGCCAATGTTTATGCACAAAATGAAACAAAGTTACATAACACATTCTTCACTGCTAAGCTGGCTGCACCATGTGTTGTTGCACTACACAATTTTGAAGTAAGTAAACTGTTTTTTGTTCCTCTTTTCCATTTTTATTAAATCTCTTAAGTCCATTCGTCAGATATTTGACCTCAAAAAACCATACGAATAAGCTGAATTTTGCTAAGAAATGTCAATTTTGGGAATCCAAAAAGATTTTACCCTTTCTACCTAGGTTTCATCCTAAAACGCCCACTCGTAGGTGGGAAAAACGAAAAAAATTGATTTACCAAGTCTGTACGTCATAGAAAAAATGTTTTAAATAAAAAATAGCTGAGATAATTTTTAACAAAAATGTTTATTAATACTTTTTGTGTTGAATGAACCGTTCTCTCAGAAAAAACGCTTGAAGCGACTAGTGATTTTGAATATCAGTTTTTTTATCACAAGTCAGTTTTTATAAAGGTTTTAATAAATAAACGTTGGATTATTTTTGCAATTTTTTACGATTCTCATGAGATTAATAAAATTTATCACTCTTATTGACTTGCCGTAGTGGAATTTCCATTGTTGGAGCCTAATCTTCAAAACCTATAACACGACATCTTGATTTTGAGTTTGGCAACAAATATGAGGCAATTGTAATATGCCTATAAACACAGAATTTAAACTTTTACATTACTTACGATAGCACGTTACGCGAAACGCCCCCACGGAAAATTTGTAGCTGAAGTTGTGTAGTTTCGAAAAACTTATATTTAAGCAGTTTTAAACATTTTAAATCGTTTGTAATGTGAAAGTTTACAGTGGGTGATCAAATTATTATGATTACTTTAAAAAACTTTGTATTTTGCTGTTTAATAAAGAATAAAACTGCATATAAGCGTCTAATGAGGTGAACATAATATAAAAATACATCATAAACACACTCTTTTACAAAATTTTAAAATATTTTTTTCTTTGACCTTAAATAACATTTTTTTTATATTTTGTGTGACCTCCTTTGGCTTCAATGACAGATTTGATCCTCCTTGACATGCTTTGAATGTTTCTCAGGCAGTCTTCTTTTATTGTATCGTTTCTGTGCCAGGTGACAATGAGTCTCTCAATAAAAAGTAAAGTTCGTGTAACTTTCTGGCTAAGGTCTAGTGTTATGGTTTTCAGGTCGTGCAAGTGCCCCTAACATGACTTAACGACTACTTTCGCAGACGGGATTAATGGCTTTACATGCCCTCCCAAGCACGGTGGCAGCTCAGTTTCTGCGAACTGGCATGTCAGAAACTGGCATCCCAGCTTCACGAATAAGTCCCGTGAGGATTCTTCTTGGCTTATTTCTATTGTTTACGAAGATATCGCTAATTTTTCTTTCTTCTCTGGGTGTAGTGACACGCTTTCGACCATATTTTTGGGCACGCTGGTGAGTCAGGGGTTTGTTGGTATAAATTTTTTTCTTGGCATTGTTGAGCTATCTGGCGTTGGGAAAGCTTTTTATTCAATAAAAGTGTCTTTATCTCCACCATTTTAGAGACAGGGACGTCTCTAGCCTTACCCATTATGATTTTCTTCTCAAAAATCGAAATGTTTTGAAAATGTCGTTAAAATTAAAACTGATAGTTTTTTTGCACTCACAATCACCACTAATACATTAATAAAACATATAAATTCACCACAATGTGTATGTTGTCACGTAATTTGACACAAATGACAGTTCTACAGCTGTAAAGTGATTTGTGGGTGTAAACGTCAAAAAAGTAAGGTTATTAGTGACCAAATACATTGGTATACCTTAATCGTATATCAACATATGAATTTATTATAAAATTTTTGAACAAGTTGAAAAACTTAAACTTTTGTGACTGATCAAAATAATTTGATCAACCACTGTAAATTCAGCATTTTTAGGCATATTCCAAATGCCTCACATTTGTTGATATGTTCTTCAGTTGGCAAGATGCTTTAATAACAGTATGGCGATAGAGACACATTAACACTGAGATGAAGTCAAGAATTTATAAAGCCAGTGTAAAGACCAATAATGACATATGCCTCAGAAACAAGGCCCGACATAGCCACAACACAATGGCTACTGGAAACGGCAGAGATGAGAGTACTGACAAGAATTAAAGGAAATACGCTGGGAGATCGAAAGAGTTTTGAGATAAATGAATACATTAGAAGAAAATGTATCGTACAGTGTATAAACGAATGGATACGAATCAGAAAAAAATAATGTATTGTGAAAGAATGTAAGAAACACATAAGCAGAATGGGGGAGACCCGTGTCGTCAAAATAACAAGAGGTAAGTCACCAATCGGCAGAAGAAGTATCAGACGACCGCGGAAAAAATGGTGTGACAACCTTTCATAAAGGTATTAATCCGCTAATGAACAATCAGAATTGCTTATAAATAGGAAGAAGAAGAAAGAAAAGCATTGGTATTCACTCGTCTCTCACCTCCAAATTATGAGGTCTATAAATTTTTGTGAGTCCGCTTGCACTTCGCTCTCCAATTTATTCTGTGGTTATTCCTTTTTGATTTACTGATCTACGTAATTACTTCTTATAGTGTAGAAAAATTTTAAATATTTGTAACTAATATTAAGAGGATTTTATTATATTTTAGAATTTTGGTAAGAACAATGACGGCCAATTTGATGAACGCATCATGGGAAACTTCTTGGACGAGCTCAACTTCTTGTTCGAAAACAATACATTCCCAATATTACTATTTTGCTGCAGTAATCAAAAAGAAATACCACCCGATTTGAAGAAATTATTTTTGCAGACCTTCGATATATGTACTCCGTCAGATTTAGAAAGGGAACAACATTTGAGATGGATTTGTGAGGAAAGAAATATAGAAACTGACGTTGATTTTTCTGAGGTTGCCAATAAGACTCATGGGTTCGTCTTTGAAGATCTCAGAGCTTTGGTTTACTATGCTGAAAGAAACTGTGGTACAAAATTATGTGATTCCAAGACGTTTAAGATTGATGTGGACGATTTCGATAAGGCTGTAGGTAAGATAGTTGTTTTATTCTTATTTGTGCTTTTTATTTTCTTGTTTAATATCCAAGTCTAACAAAAAATGAAGAAACCTGTAAGATACTAAAATACTAGTAACTTACACGTTTGATGGTCTGGTTGGTTAAGGTTCAAGACTGTACGTCCCCTACAATGTCAGAAGTTATCTGTAACTTTAGTGAAATTCGAGTTTAGTAGTTATCTTTGTGGTGTATATAAAATCATATTTTCAGCGAATAGACAATGATAACAATCATATTTCCCCTTGGTCTCCCCTCCATAAATCTTATTGACATCCATTGTCCATTAGTGAGACGATTAGTTCCGATCAGAGATATTTTACATATTCTCTGGTTCCGATCCTAATATAGGTAAGAAACTAGAGGTGGGTCCTCTAGTTTTTTAAATTTTTATCGGAACCGTTTTTTGTAAACTGTAACTAGTTGATTGTTTACCAGTATTTGAATTAGCGAGTACACAAACATATTGGTTATTATCGTTTATGTGTATAAGTATTGAAGTGAGAGAAACTAACGAAGGATATATTTATTATAACTTGAAAAATAAATTAAACAATACAAATAGTACCTACTTACATTTATAAAACACATTATTAAATCGCGAATCGTCTAAATTGACATTTAAAAACATAAGTTTTTTCACTTTTCTTGTTAACCATGTTCTTCTTTTATTTAAAATTAAACCATATTTTGAACATGTGTTCACAAAGAACAGATTTTGTTACAATACTACAATATTTTATGAATATAGTGGTTCAGTTAGGATATACATGGCGATGGTTTTTCCACCACGGTAATGGACAGTTCAGATCTCCGTTCAAAATTTTTTGTGGGTAATATATCATCAGACAAATACATGTCGACTTCTTTTATATTTCTCGATACAGGTGTATGTTTAGATGAGTCATGTTCAATTAATTCATCAAAAATACACGATGGACTTAAGTTATCTTTATTAGTTTCTTTTTCTTGTACTGGTTGATTTTCAAGATTTACTAAACTTATGCAAAGACTCATTTCATCCGTTTTCCATAGTTGAAAAACGAGCTTTTAAAAAGTTTTCAGGGTGGATTCCTGGATATAAACCTCCAACAAGAAAAACTTTGTCAGGTTCATTACTTCAGGAATGTTATATCAAAACTGAGCAAATTATTAGATCACAAGTTATTAAAGAAGTTGAAAATATCTGTATTACTACTGACCTCTGGACATCTGGAGTTACTGAGAGCTACATCGCATAAACAGGACAACATTTAACCGAAAATTTAGAATTTAAAACGGTTTTATTAGGCTGCTCCGTTTTTCTGGAAACCATAATTCAGAAAACATCGCTTCTGAAATTAGTGAAATTATTAATCAGTGAGGTCTAAAAGGAAAAGTAAATTTTGCAGTAACTGATGATGCCTCAAATATGGTCAAAGCTATTAAAGATGTTTTGGAATGAAAACATTTAAATCGTTTTGCTCATACGTTAAATTTATTGGTGGAAGACGCACTTAAATGCTGTCGTGTACAAATAGATAAAATAAAAAGTCCTTTTTTGGCAATTCGGCAAAAAACACATTTCAAAAAAAGTACCTTATCTTCAGAAAGGCTTTTACAGTATCAATTACAACATAACAAAGTTCCCAAATGGCCAATCCATGATGTGGAAACTAGGTAGAACTTCACCTATTACATCTTAAAAAGAATAACCGAGTTAGAAGAGGCAATCCGTTCCACATTGGTATTAGTTAATACAGACTTAGACCAACTCTAAATAAAGAGCACTGGATTATTTGTTCTCAACTTGTGATTGTTATGGTACGCTGCCTGACTTGCAATAAAATTTTAGCAAAAAGATTTAGAGGGATAGAACAGAGTGGCATATTGTCATTATGTACATTTATGGATTCACGATTTAAAGTGCAGGGTTTTTCTGATAAAAATAAAGCTAAAGAGCTGAGAAGCTGGTTACTTCTATAATTAAAGAACAGGAAGATTGTACTATTGAAAATCAACCAGTACAAGAAAAAGGAACCGATAAAGATGACTTCAGTCCATGGTGTATTTTTGATCAATTAATTGGAGATGGCTCATCTAAACGTACACCTGTATCGAGTCCATTACAACGGTGGAAAAACCATCGCCATGTATATCCTAACTTAACCACTATAGTCATAAAGTATTGTAAATGTGAACATATGTTAAAAATCTGGTTTAATTTTAAATAAAAAAGAACACGGTTAACAAGAAGTAAAGTAGAAAAACTTACGTTTTTAAATGTCAATTTAGACGATTCGCGATTTAATAATCATCATCATCAAAACATTTACATAAGTAATGTAAATGTAAGTACGATTTACTATTTGTATTGTTTAGTGTATTTTTCAAGTTATAATAATATTATTAGTTTCTTTCACTTCAATAAATATACACATAAACGATAATAGCCATTATGTTTGTTTATGTAGATACTCTCTTACTTGCAACTACTTTTAAACAATCATAGTTACTTGTTTACGAAAATGGGTTTAGTTGCTTTAAGAGCGTAGGCGGAAAATTTCAGGTCAATTATTTTTAAATGCATTCATTTTTTTGGAATCCTGAGAAAACTAACAAATATTTTTGAAAAATTTAAATGCAGAATGAAATATTACATTATTACCGAGGGTCGAAAGTCCCTTAGAATAAACAAAAAGATTTTTGAATGAGATATTTGAAATTAAAAATCACACTAAATTTTCTCTTTTTTATCCATTCCTGTAACTTATTAAAATACACATTATAGAAGTTTTCAGGGACTTTCAGCCCTCGATAATAATGTATTGTTTCATTCTGTATTTAAATTTTTAAAAAATATTAGTTTTCTCAGGATTCGAAAAAAAAAATGAATGCATTTAAAAAGCATTGGCCCGAAATTTTGCTCCTACGCTCTTAACGATAAAAACGTCAACAAGTTACAACGTCCCACCTCTACTACCTTATTTTGATGTTTAGATTTTTAATTCGGATATCGTACTTAAAATACGAAACATTAATAAATTTTATATATATATATATATATATATATATATATATATATATATATATATATATATAATGATTTCCGAAGTGGAAATCAAAATATTATATTACACTTATTGTAAAGCCAATTTGTGGCATATTCCCAATAAAAAACAGTAAGCTGCCATTTAAATCAATTTCGCGCAAATTTGATTATCTTAGAATATTATCCAAATGCTAAAAAGACAACAGGTCAAATAAAACCAATAAGTTTGGCAACGTTGAACTGCCTCTTTTTTATTATATCCACACATGCATGTTCGGCCTCTCTATATATATCTATCTATCTCTTTTTAAACAGATGTTTCTCACTCCATCTCACGAGTAAAAAGTAGCCAGCAATATACGCTACTCTAGAAAAAATAAAATTAATGGGATACGAGAAACGGAGTAACATGGGAATGAAGAATAAATTTTAAACAAAAATTAAACAAATAACCGCAAAAGAGCAGCAGAAATGCGGTAATCTGAAGAAAGTAAGACTAGTATTAGCTTCAGTAGAACATTGAAGAATCATAAACATAAAAATTAAAATTGAAAAACTTTGAGATAGACAAAAAGGCCTTTTTTTCTTTTTATGTAGACATGACTCTGTCTGTTGTTCAACGTGCCTCCATTTTGGCTTTTTCGGGGAAATTAGCATGTTAAATTTTCTGGCGGTTGTATTCGATTGGTGCAGGTTTCCTCGATGTTACCGCGTTCTAATATTTTATTCCCTGATATTTTTTTTCTGTATAAGTATTTCGTGGATTCCATATTTAGTCCTTCAACTTTGATTTTTGTTTGTTTTGGCACTACTCTCTTTTGATTGTGAAGTATTTCAGGATGACTCTTATTTTTCTTTTAAAAAGAGCAAATATTACAATAAATCAACAAAAATAGAATAAGAAAAAACAAAAGCATAACTGCGGAAAAACTTAACATATTGAAATATATTGAGAGAACTCGAAGAATAGAGTTAAGAAGGGAAAAACGGTTAGAATGAGTGTCAACAAAAATCGAGAGAAAATCGAAAAGCCTTCGTAATGTTGATCGAGATCGTCGGATAATTCTGATATGGCAAACTAGAATGTCTTGGGCATGTTATGAGGAATGAACAGAAATACGGCTTGTTGCAACTCATTCTTCAGGGCAAGGTATTTGGAAAGAGAGGACCAGGGAGAAGAAGAATATCTTGACTTCAAAACCTGAGAAAGTGGTTTAATACATCGACAACCGGACTATTCAGAATAGCAGCAAGCAAAGTTAGGATAGCCATGTTGATCGCCAACATCCGGAACGGATAGGCACCGTAAGAAGAAGAAGAAGAAGTAAAGAAAAAGTTAACAAAAAGTTGAAATAACAAAACCAAAAATTGGGTAAAAATAACGATGCGTTAGATTGAGGGAAGATTGGTAGAGTAATAAATAAGTTAAAGAAGAGAAAAATAGAGTCTCAACAAAAAATTACAGCGTTTAATGGTTTTTGAGAAGTTTCATAACTTTATTATTATTAATCTTTAGATTATTCAACCAAAATAGTGTTTTTAAATCGTTAACTACAAAGGATATGGCTATCTTAGCGTATTAAGTATTTTGTTTTAGTTTGCCTCCTTTTTCTTTTTAGATTATATGCAAAAGAATTACAATGAAAGTATAGGTGCTCCCAAAGTACCTAAAGTTCTTTGGTCCGATGTAGGAGGTTTAACTGACATTAAAGAAGAAATCAACAAAACCATAAATCTGCCCCTAAAACATCCCGAGATTTTTAAGACATCAGGACTTAGACGTTCAGGTAAGTAGACCGATATATAAAAGTTAGATTTGTTTAAAACTACTTTAAGAGACTTTTTAAACAAGTACATATTTGATCATTTAAATACAATGAATATCTTCTTCTTCTTAAGGTTCCATCTTCTAACGAAGGTTGGATATCAACATGGCAATTCTTATTTTACTTACAGCAGCTCTAAATAGTTGGCTAGAGCTCAGACTAAACCATTCCCTTAGATTTCGTAGCCAGGAGGTTCGTCTTCTTCCTACATCTCTTTTACCTTTGTGGTGAATGAATATCTATTGTGGTTTATTTTAGGCATTTTGCTGTTTGGTCCACCGGGAACAGGCAAGACCCTAATTGCTAAAGCTGTAGCAACAGAATGTAATTTGTGTTTCTTGTCAGTGAAAGGTCCTGAGCTTCTAAATATGTATGTCGGTCAATCAGAACAAAATATTAGAGAAGGTAAGTTACTACTAGATACTAGATATACATGTACCTATGTATGTATGTATATATATATATATATATATATATATATATATATATAAAAATTTTAGAGTTTATTTTAATACCTATTTCCTCTCCTACCTCGCGAATACGATCAAGCAGAATTTGGAGACGTTCAATATTATTTGACAGAATTACTGTATCGTCTGCATATCTAATCACATTAAGTAGTTCCCCATGTATTTTTATTCCATATGGTTGTATCTCAAGTGCCTTTTTAAATAACTGGTCCGAGTAAACATTAAACAATGTTGGCGACAAAATGTAAACTTGTCTGACTCCTCGTTGTACGGAGACTTCACCAGTGTAGTTATTTCCAATTTTAATGATAGCGGTTTGATTCCAGTACAATTTTTTAATGACACCAATATCCTTGTCATCTATTCCGTTATTTTTCAATATTTGCATCAATTTTACATGCTGTACTTTATGCAAACTGTCAATACAATCCTAAAATAAATCCCACATTATCTACACCTCAAAATGAAGCTTTTGATTCTATTGAGATGACACATACATTACAAAGTGAAGAATCTTCAGGGGACATCAGCGACATTGAGTCATCGGACATTCACGAATGGCAAACTATACAACATGGTAACAAAAAACGTAAAATAATCCTCCGACACCAACATAAAACGAAGACACGGTAATGACCAGCAATAAATTTCAGATTGTACAAAATAAAAACGAAAGCGACAACAATAATATTACAGAAAATAGCAACGAAACTCCAGCAACCTCTAAACCCCCACCATTTTTTATATATGGTATTACTGAATACAATAAAATGGTTAATAACCTATCGGAAGTAACAAAAACAGAGACATACTATTGTACAGCATTAAAAAACAACACAATAAAAATAAATTCCCGGGACTCTGAAACATACCGAAAACTGGGAAGACATTTAAATAGCAAAAAAATGGTGCATCATACGTACCAAATAAAAGAGGATAGAGCATACAGAGTTGTAATTTGTAATTTACATTAAACAGTGCCGATTAATATAATAAAAAGTGAAATAGAAAAACATGGGCAGTTAGTACGTAATATTGTAAATATAAAACACAGAGTAATTAAGGAGCCTCTTATGATGTTCGTCGATATAGAACCTAATTAAATATGAAATTCAATTTATAAACAACGCGACAATAGTTATTGAGTCATCGTATAAAAAAAATAATATTGTCTAGTGTACCTGATGCCAATTGTATGGACACTTTAAGACATACTTTAATAGACCTTATCACTGTGTCAAATGTGGAGGCAACCATATGTCAGCTGATTGTAAAAAACCTAGGGACACACCTGTCATATGCACTCTCTGCAATGGAGCACACACCACAAATTACAAAGGATGTATGGTATATAAAGAGTTAATTAGCAGTAGAAACAGAGCAAGAGGAGTATAATCGTACACTCCAGTGGAAAATCAACTGCAATATAACAAAAATACAATACAGAATAATCCGAACTTAAACAATCAAAATCTCGCGACTTACACATAAGCAACAGGTGGAACAAATGTAAATAATATCCATAATAATACGAACCCATGCAACCAAAATGATGCAACTTACGCTCAAATAACAAGTGGAACACATGTAAGTAATACAAACAGTGACTTTGGAAATATGATGAAGAATTTCTTTAACGAATTCAAAGCTATGTTTTCACAACTAATAAATCAAAATAGCGTGATCTTAAACATGCTTTCCACAGTAATAAATAAATTCAGTCATCATAATCATCATCACACAGCCAAATTTGTCCACTGTCGAACATAGGCCTCCTCAAGATGTCTCCACTCTTCTCTGTCCTGTGCAGCTGCGATCCAGTTTGTCACTATTCTTTTAATGTCGTCCGTCCATCTGGTAGGTGGTCTTCCACGATTTCGCTTGTCTGCCCTTGGCCGCCATTCTAAAATCTTCTTTGTCCATCTGTTGTCTCTCTGTCTTGCGACGTGTCCTGACCATTTCCACTTCAACTTCGTAATCCGTTTTATGACGTCTTCCACTCCAGTTCTTCGCCGTATCTCATAATTTCGTATTCGGTCTCTCAAAGTTACGCCAAGCATAGATCTTTCCATTTTTCGTTGTGCTACTTGTAACTTTTTTTTTGATGCTTTAGTCAATGTCAGTGTTTCAGCTCCATAAGTGAGCACCGGAAGTACGCACTGGTTAAATGCTTTTCTCTTTAGCTTTATTGGGATGTTTTCCTTAAACACGTCTTTTAGCTTGCCATAGGCTGCCCATCCTAAAGCTATTCTTCTAGATAATTCGCATGTTTGGTTGTCTATACTTATTTGTATTTCGTGGCCCAGATATATGTATTTGTCAACCGTTTCAATATATGCCAGTTTTCTAGTTTCAATGGTCCACTAGGTACTAAGTTGGTCATCATTTTAGTTTTCGCAAAGTTTATTTCCAGCCCTACTTTTTGGGAGACTCGTTGTAAATCTTGTAGCATTTCGTTGGCCTCCTTTAAGTCGTCGGTTATTAGAACTATGTCATCTGCAAATCGTAGGTGGTTCAGCCTTTCGCCATCGACACTCAAACCTTTGTTTTCCCATTCTAACATCTGGAATGCATGCTGCATTACGGCATTGAATAGTTTTGGTGACATGTTGTCTCCTTGTCTAACTCCCCTTTTTAGTTTTATTTTTTGAGTAGGGGTGTGGAGGTTTATTGCTGTTGTGGCATTTGCATATATATGTTGAATAATGCTGGTATATCGGTAGTCGATTCTACAATCTCTCAAAGCTCTTAAGATAGCTACCATCTCGATAGTGTCCAAGGCTTTTTTATAGTCAACAAATACTAGAACTAGTGGCCGGTTGTACTCTATAGTTTTTTCAATTAGGGCCTTTAGACAAGTTAGATGGTCATTTGTACCATACCCAGGGCGGAAACCTGCCTGTTCTCTTGGTTGGCATGTTTCTAGTTTGTTCTCAATTCTGGCAGTGATAATTCGAGCAAATAATTTATACAGATGACTTAGAAGACTGATTGGCCTATAGTTTTCGAGGTCTGTTTGATCTCCTTTCTTATGCATGAGGAGCGTTATAGAATTATTCCATTCAGCTGGTATTGCATGGTTTTCTAAGCATATATTGAAGAGCTGCTTGATTGTCCTGATGAGAGCAGAGCCTCCGATTTTTAGCGCATCCGCCACTATTTCATCTTCTCCTGGTGCTTTGTTTTTTTTTTTCATTTTCTTTAGAGCATGGTAAATTTCAGCCGTTGATATGTCGGAAATATCTTCTGAACCTTGATTCATAATTTTTTGTTCTGTATGTTCTGTCGGGTTTAAGTCCAATTTATTTGTGTATAGTGTTTTATAGAAGTCTTCTACTATCTCTAGCATTTCGTCTCTGTTGGACGTTAGTTTGCCATTCTTTCCCTTAAGTCTGATGATTTCTTTCCTGCTGTTCGTCAATTTCCTTCTTAATATCTTCATGCTCTTTTTGTGCTCGATTGTCTGCGAGATTTTCTCATTTTTATATGCCCTTATGTCCTTTCTAATTGCTTTTGAGACCTCTTTGTTGATTTTATTTATGCTTTGTTGTTCTATACTCGTATCTTTTAGCATTTCTCTTCTTTCTTCCATTTTAAGTTTGATGTTAGCAGTGATTCTCTCCTCTCTCTTGTTATCTGTACAATATTTTCTTTGAGCTTCTGCTATGGTATTAGTAATTACTTTATTTAGCTGATTTATATCATTTGTGGGGGGCCTGTTTTGTAGACGTACCGTTATTTGATCTGCAAACTCTGTTTCATTTTTTGGTTGTGACCATGCTTTCAATTTTTTCTTTCTCATTAGTTTATTTCTCTCTTTATCGATGTTAATTTCTATTCTAGCGCGAACCATTCTGTGATCACTTCCTGTTGTGAAGCTGTTGAGTACAGTGACATCTTTAACTATAAATTTTTTATCTGTTATTATATAGTCAATTTCATTTTGCGTTCTCC